TTGGTCATTCAGCGGATATTGTTTTACTTGTGTGGTTACTTTTAGTGCGATTGGCGAAACGCGATGCACGTGATGTCGCCTTTCGTTGCTTCGCAGTATAAATTCGAGCTGTACACGTAGGAGAAGTGGCCTTTCGAACAGATCACATCGATGCTGCCACCGAACTTCGCTTCCGCTCGGTCATTTATCGCTCGTTTTGATACTGATGAATTGTCACCGATGTTCTGTAACACAAGAAGAATTAAAATATTCACTTGCACAATACGTTTAGACACTGGCGAGTTATTCGACTGTATTACGTAGCGCAGGGCTTTGGCTGATCACAAGGATGTCGATGAATTCCTCTTTTCAACAACTTTTTATGAAACAAAGATAAGGCGGCTCTAGCCTTTCATTATCTACGAAACAAAAGCTGATCAAAATTAAAAATTGTACCTCAATCATGAGTTTTTTCAACATCTGACTATTGCATTTGATGTCCACTGCTGCACCATTTGATTGCCCTAATTTGTTAATCGCTTTTTTTTCCGCATTTGCTGGTGAAGCTTGCATCCTTGGATTGCGATTGATGAGCGGGTGCTCTCGTCTTTCCGGAGCGATCAAATCGGAATCATCATCCTGAATTTGGGAAGTGGGAATAGATACACTGCTTACACTGACACTTACAGTAATCGATACGCCAGGCCGATCTTTTCATTAAGGATGGTGCAAACCCCAAAAGTGATTTGAATTTTAACCAACAAAACTAACCAAAATTTCGCTAGCAAGGGACTTTAAATGATATGTATTTCCTTAAAATTTAGCACGAAGGCGGTCGGATTACGATTTGATCTACTTTCTTGAGCTGAGAACTCGGAGAAGCGAGTCTTTGAAAACAGACGGAACAAAAAAAAAAGAATTTCGTTTAGAGAATGAATTCTGATCAAATTTTTACGGTTTTTTTTTTTGCAAGGCATTGTATTTTATGATGTTCAGATCCCCCTCAACAAAATTTCGTCAGCACAAATCACTGCCGATCCACCTTTGCAACTTTCAGATTGAACAAACATCGCACAATCCACCAATTTTCGTAGACGAAGTTGTCATATTTTGCAAGCACATAACAATATTTCATTTGTCCTTCTTTTCGCTTATTCTGCCTCCAAACCCCTCCTTATATGTCCACTAATGCAAATAAAATACACGGCATAGGAAACAATTAAGGATGCATTTTGCGTGAAAAACCTTGTGTTTTGCCTCGTTTCTGCTACCACTTAATTTATGTGGGAATGTTACAGCGTGCAAAGTATTTCCGTCAAAACTCCACGTCAAAATACCTAACTGAGCAACAAAGATTTTTCATGGATTGCATCAAATTTTTAGAGTACGAGCACTGTCACAGCATCATTGAATTTTTAACAAAACAGTTTATGCATCCAAGTTATGTGGAAAGTGATTCAGCCAATCTTCTCCACTGTGATGGTTCGATTTTT